AACCAGACAGCTTGTAAAAGTTATGAAAAACAAGCAGCAAAAACAAAAGTAAATATCTTAACAGGCTCTGTGAACATTATTTGGATTCTCTTTACAAACCAAGTGTGTATAATTTCATTGACTTACCTAAAATTTAATTAACTACCAATTAACCATTTATTAATGATGCCTTTACGAGTCTGTACACAGTGTTTACTGTAAACCTGCTCCCTGCATGTATTGCATTGCATATCTGTGTGCTTTTACAAAGTCGTTGACTTCATTGTTACTCAGAGCCGGAGACGCAAAGATGCAGCCTTTCGGCTCGTGAACACGGGGCACATATATTTTTAATCTGCTCAATTTTACATACTGTTTAAATGACTCCTGCATTTTTAATGAATCCCGCTGACACGACAGCCATTACCCCGGTGTTGTTATTGCGTTGCCTTATATTAGGTAGCTGATGCTTGTCGCCAGCCTTGTGGTCTTAAAAGCAGAGATTTGAGTAAAACTGAACTTATAACAGAGCAGCCCTGTCGGACACATCCCACCCTCGGAGCATTAGGGTGCAGTTTTATGGCTACTGACACTGTGCAGGCAGGAAGGACATTAAAGATGCAAAAGGGTTGAGCCTCGGTGGTCAGTGATCAGTGCTACTTTATAGCAAAATTAAAATGAAAAATGGACCCCCTGCAGAGCGTGTTTGTATCAAGATAATGGTGCATATAATAATAAAGCAGGAGAAGCAATTCACCCGACCAGTTTCCCGTCTCGCTCAAAAGTGTATGAAAAAACTTTCCCATGCAAGCATAATGGATTTTACATGTCACAGTTTTCATAACTGCATAAAAACATTTCCCATGACCGGGTGTGACTTATTTTATATGTGGCTAATTTACTCCACAAGGGACTCGTGCAATGCAAGCCGTCTCGAAACCTAGAGGCTGTTGGTAGAGTTCATTTTTACCTCAGTGTAACACTTTCAGTTGATAAATGCCTTTTGATTAGGCGGTTAGATTGGAAACAGCAGGCCTCTGAATACTGAGGACTGAGAACCACTTGTCTAATTGTAATCATCCTCCTACCTGAGAGCTGTAATTCAATCACGCTGACGCCACAACCCCTAAACATAATTGAGAAAGTTACTTTTTATCTTGCATGCAACAGGGCGAGTGCCTACTAGCTCAGCCGTCACTAGAACAACAGGCTAAAAGAGAATTTTCTCCTTCGGGAAGAAGACATGAATGAATAATTTCTGTCATTCTGAAGATGATTCTGCACATTTCATGCATGAGCTACAGGTTTGTAAAGCATGAGCTTCTAGTATACAGACTTTAACCACTGGGATGCTGTTTTATTGAATGTGCTGTTTCATCAAAAACAATGCATGCAGTGGTGGGATACACATTTAGGTCTCATAAGCAGGCCACTCTTGTTCTGTTATCACACAGCTTCCATTTGCATCGCCTTAGATTAGAAGAAAATGCTGCTTTTTGTCCTTTTCCATTCAGGTTGGTGTGCAGAACAGATGCTTGCTTAGCTGATATTTTCACCCGAGTCAGGAATCTTTAGCCGGGTTAGCAGCGTGGTTTCCCAGAGGATAAAGCCTGCTGACTTTAGTGATCTCATGACTTTTTCTGTTTTGTCTAGTGGCAAAAAGAGGTATTTTTTTTATTTCTATTTTTTAGTAAAATATCAAAGAGTGTTTAGCAGTAACTTGGATGTAAGCCAAAGCATTACACAAATTAAAATCTTCATCTGATAATGGTCTTACATAAAACCACTGACAGAGGAGATAGAGGAGTTCTGACATTTGGAGGGATCTTGAAGTAGAGCCATTCCCCTTTTTTGGAAAAAAAAGGAGCAGCATGAGGTGATTCGGACATCTGGTTCAGATGCTTCCTGTGCTCCTCCCTTTGGAGCCTTTCTGGGCAGCATCAAAGGGGAGGAGACCCCAAGGCACACCCAAAACCCTCTGGAGAGATTTTGTATTTTGTCTGGCCTGTAAATGCCTCAAGATTCCTCAGGAGGAACTGGAAAGTATGTCAAGGAAGTAGTGTTACACCGAAAGGATTTAAAAGAACAATGTGTTTTAAAAAAATGAGTAGAAAATATTTATTCTTAAATCTAGGAAGTAAAAAAAAATTCCTGAAAAATAAATAGCCAAGTAAAGTACAGATGGTTGAAAATTCACTTAAGCATAGTAACAAAGTATTTGCATTTTGTTATTTCCCACCTCTGGGAATGTTACAGAGCCAGGTGAGGCTGCAAGGACAGGAGAGATGACTGTTTGCTAAATATGTTTACTCACTTCAGCCGAGAGGCTGGAAAGCCTATTACGTGACGTCTTTCACATTGAGTGCAGCATCAAAGAAACAGCAGCAAAGGCTGACACGGTGCCTGGGGCTGCAGGTGGCTCTAACCTGCAGGTTTGGTCTCTTAACTTGATTTTACTGACCCTTGAGGGGTGCTTTCGCTGGTGTAGTCGAAATTATAATCTCATTAGTTCCTGTTTACTCATGGTCCTTCTATTATAAAAGAAACTACTCGCTTTTTACGCTATTATTCTAACAAGCCTTCCATCCGAGTCTCGGTCACAGCGGCAGCACTAACCAGACGCCGCTAGCTCTTCTGCAAGGACACCGAAGCATTCCCAAGCCAGTCAAGAGACATAATCTTCCCAGCATGTCCTGGGATTGCCTCAGGGTCTTCTCTTGGTATGCTCATACACATCACCTGTGAGATGTCCAGGAGGAAATCTAATCAGATTACTAGAATCACCGTAATTAGGCCCTTTTTAATTTGGAGGAGCAGCATAATCAGCTCTCTTCACCACACAAAAGCTGGTAAAGCATCAATATCATTGCAGGTACTGCTCCAACCTCTCCTCACTCATGAATAGGACTTCAAGATGTTTGAACTCCAACATGTGATGGTGAGCTCCTCACTAACCTGGAGAAAGAGCTCCACCCTTTTCAGGCTGAAACCCATGGCCTCATTTTTGGAAGTGCTAATTCTGATGTCAGCCACTTTGCACTCCCAGCACGAGCTGATCAGCATTTGCTGAAGCCAGCAAGCTTTCATCCTCCACACAAAGCAAAGAAGTAATACAGAGGCCACCAAACTGGGAACTCAATGCTGCCTTTTGCTATCCCTAGAAAATCTGTCCATATAAGTTATGTAAAGAGTCAGTGATAAAGGGCAGCCCCGGCAGAGTCCAGCCGCCACAGGACAATACTGCATGAAACTACTATACCTATACCAGTATTGTAACTATATTTACATATGTACTCTATTTAGAATTACATCGTATTAGTGAGAATCATTATACAAGAGTTTACTGAGCGGATTTTCTTCTCTCCGTTCGTTGGTGTGGACATCGTGTCCCCCCGACAGGGTGTTTGCCCCGGCCTGGCCTCTAGCGTGTGGAGTGACCTAACGCTCCCTGCGTGGCAACATGGCAGTGATGCCGCAAAATGTCACTTTGCTGTACTCACACAGGCATAGAGTTGCTGTGGGGCCTTATCCGTAGTGGCAGGAAATAAAATGGAACAAAAGTAACAGTTAAAGGTCAGACTTCAAGGCTCATAAAAGCAGCAAAACCAGCTGCATTATTTTTTTTCTTTACATGCAGGAAATACAGTGTATTCATGTTACATATATATTTCAACTTTTTGTATAAGTGTGTTCAAAATAGCCACTGAATTTCAGACTAATGTAGGTTTCTAATAGCTGCTGCCATTAAGGAGCGAGCAATTAGACTACTGATATTTTATTTAGTGTACAAACACCGAGGTTTTCATTATTAATGCCTCTTTTAGTCAAGACCTTTTTAAAACCACTCCAGTAACTGTTCCAAATGAAACTTGTTTGAGAAAACATTGAGGTTACACTTTAAATTCATGTTATACTGTGTGGTTATTCACTGATCTGCACTCACAAGTCACAAACATGGACAAACATGGATGAGACCGTGTTTTTTCTTTATACCTTGGAGTGAGAAGGTGACTTTTATCTAAATGTGGAGGTCAGAGCCATTGCTTTAACATGACTTAACAATATGCAATTGCAAATGTGAGTAGTCTGTTTCTGTTAGCTCTGCAAACTGCATGATTGGTCCACTAGTTTGATCCAGACTGCAATATCTCACGGTAGCATGCTGAGACCCGGAGAGGAGGTAGTAGAAAGTAGCAGAGCATGCAGCAGACTGGTTTGGAGACACCTCAGTGAAAAAGGATCATAAGGAGTGTTTGAGTTGCACGTGTGTGATGAAAGTGTGCAAAGGGCTGGGACAACCCATGATCGAGTTGCCCACACCATTTGAACGGTTACCCAAGAAACTTCCTGCTGACATCAAATTGTCATAGGTGGTCTTTCTGTAGATGAGCAGCACTACTGTACAGCTGTGGCTCAGGTGGCAGAGGTTCATCTACCATTCGGGAAGTCATGGCAAAGTATCCTTGAACCCAGAGTTGCCCCCGATACATTCCTCAGAGTGCGAGTGCATGTAAGCATAAATAAAAGAATGAATCTATTTGTGATTGTGTGGGAATGAGACCTGCAGTCGAAAGAGCTTTGAATTCTTAACAGAGTCGAAAGGCGCCAGTCCATTTACATGACAGGTCACCGACATACAGGTGAGTCAGCATGTTCACATTTAACTGAAAGCACTGCTGTGCTGAAGTACAGCTTCACAGAGCTGCTGCCACGATCACAGACTCGTGATTACAGAAATGTAGGATTTGCAGGTTTTGTGGGTCTGCGCTGCTCCGAAGCATTGTGTGTACTTTTTGTCTCATTTATTATTTTCACCTTTTTCAAATTTAAAGCCACGTCTTTGCAGGCAGAATGATTTTTTATTTTTCAGAGAGATATTTTCTTGTCTGGGCAAGAAAATGTCTTGAAAGTGAGGTGCAGTTTCCTATATAGCTTTGACAAGCATCCAGCAGATAAATATGTCACAGTAAAGATCTTCCAACACTTAGCAGAGACGATTTTTTTTATTTCATTATCACATATACAACATAATATTCATCTCAACGCCCTCTGTGACGTTCCTTTCCAGTGTCGATTATTTGAACAACAGTAATTACACAGCACAACAATATTATGTGGTGAGTGATTATTTCATTTTTCAATATTAAAAGCACTTGTGGTTTAAGAAAATTAGTGTCATCTCAGCCCACGAGTCCAGATTTTCATTTTTAATTTGTTATGCGCAGCGGGGGAGAGCAGAGTTCATTCCCTGACATTTACAGACTTCTCAGAACGCTTTGCGTGCATCGTATTGTGCTTCATTTGCTTAAACACTTGAAGACAGAGGAGCATTTCAAAACAGGAAACAACAATAATAGAGGTCAACACCAGCACGGTTACCGCTGCTTCCTGCAAGACGATCTTTCGAATATATATTTTTTTTTCCTTTTCATCTCCCTATGCACTATTTTCTGTCTTGTTTTTAATTTATCTGTTTTTTTTGTCCACTTGTTCAGGTACAAGCGTTAAAGAAAATTGCTTTTGCCGCTACGATGTCCTCCCCTGATGAGCGCACAGCCACAAAGAAAAGTAAGAAGCAGAGTTTTGCTAAAAATGGACAAACAACCCTTCAAAGACCTCCTCAGGATAGCATTCGTTCTCGCTTTTATCACATCGTCCTTTATGCAGTGCAAAGAATCTGACAACAATTCACCAATAAGTTAAGTTCATGTGTGGCATGGTCCGTCAGCACACACACCCACACACACCCACACTCTCACACACACAGATCAGGCAGCAGGTAGGTTCTGGTCCTACATGAGCACACAGCTTTTGGCTCGGTCCTTTCTAATGGCAGGCGGACGCTCGTGAATCTCAGTCCGAGGTGGCTGCTGGGAAACCCGCTTGAGGCCGTGGCGTGATCCGGCGTGTTTGAGCTGAGGCCGATGAATGTTGGACACAGATGCCAGGGTGGTGACGTGAAATACATCGCGGACGCTGTTCTCCGAATACTTTGAGGTGCACTCTGCGTAGGCCACGGCGCCAATCTGCCTCGCCAAAGTGGTTCCCTGAAAACACACAATGTGAGTTACTCAGGATTAAGAATGAAAAGCCAAGACTTAAAATTTATGTTTTGACCACTTGAACACTGCAAAACAAGATGTAAACACACAACTGATATATTATTACTTCTTAATGAGCTGCAATGTTACCACATTTTAGGTTCCATCTAATATTCAGCCTCCTTCTCGTTTGATTTTTGTCTCTAGAGGGAAATTCGTGGCTATAGCAGCTTTATGTTACAGCGCCTTCAATAGCTAGTTCCTAGCTCTCTATCTGCCTTTAAAAAAAAATTGTATGCAGTTGGTTTATCAGAGTTTTTTTCACTGAAAACATTTTCTGCCTCCTGCTGCAAAAAAGGTTCATAAGAGTGCTAAAAGCTTAACCAAGCTGTGGGTCAGAAAACCAGAACAATGAGTTAATAGTATAACACTTCACCCTGCAGAGGCGAGCTGTAGCCGGCTAATCATTCTTACTGGGTTAGTGTCTGAGTGGCTCCAACCTGAGTGCAGTCACACATGCAACTAGTATTTAATACATATGGCTGACAATATTACACCATCTCAAGGAATAACACAGCAATTGCTTCATATCACTTTTTCTAGTAAATAAAACTAAGATGAGGTTTTAGTTTTAATCTAGAATCCTTTTGAGTCTTTTAAGTCTGCATCTCTGTTAATACGTCTCTGTTAGCTTTATTCTGGTAGGCTTTTGCAGGTTGTGTCTTGTATTTAGTTTTACTTCCTTTATTACTTTCAGCTGTCTTTTTACCCAGTGTGTCCACTCAACCCAGTTACCTTCTGTATCTATTTAAAGCCTCATTTTGACTAAGTTCCTTGTTGTGCCATACTGTGTTCTAGCTTTGTTTGCGCCTTGTGTGTTTCCTTGCAGTGTTATCTTGTGTTTATTTTAAAAAAAGGCTTGCTCTTTGTGTTTACCACCTCCTGCCTACGAGCATGCCTTTTGGTCCCTTCTGCATTCATTTCATCATAACATTTCAATGTGAGACACACAGTTTGCAAATAGTATAAAATAAACCTATGGATATATGCAAAGCAGGTTGGCAAGTACAGTTTTATGATTTGTCATTTTAAATGTGCAGTGCTGTTTTCGCTCATTCTGCATTTACTTAATGTCAGTCAGTCACAACAGAGGGAAAATAGCACGGTGGTTTCCGGATGATTGTACTGATTTTTTTTTCTCTCCTCACACTTTGAGACCGAGTGCCGATTTTTCAGAATCCCACAGCCTCAAACTGCGGGAGACCACAGTCACCAAACAACTGCAGTTCCACTTGGACTGACTGCAGTCATTCTCCGACAGATTGGCAAATATTTGCAAATAACTGCCATCTAATTTATAACATACTACAAACAGTCCGAGACAGTCTGCGCCAATCAGCAATATGTGTCTTTGATATATGGGGCTCGATTCAACTGGCTGCCAACTGGTTGTATTGTGGTTATATTCCTTTATAACAGCAATGTCGCTGAGCACTTATGGCACTTTACAGTTAAATCACCATCCTGCATGAACTACATCAGGTTTGAAATTTTTAAAGCAGATTGAATTGTTTCAAGTTGCAGGCTGATAGCAGACTGAATCAGTCTTATTGGAGTTTTTCTGTCACCTTAATGCACTAAAGACTGCAAGTGTTTGTTGATGTTCTTAAGAAACCATCTTAAAGGCAACAGCTGCAGTAATTTTGTTCGTGCTCCCATTTCCAACCACTCTTTGTCCCAGTGTGACTTTAACACTAAGCATTTTTATTTATGCCCTTCAAACCTGAACATGCACAGATGCTACCAGGCAGACATATATGCCAGAGATATTAAACAGACCCACCAATAAACAGGCTTTACCCTTTAAGCTCCCCGAGAGCAACATTTTTTTAAATTGTCCTGAGAATTTGCAACGAGCGAGTGTGCATCATGTGACTACCGCGCGCAATCTCAACTCAATCTCCATCCCTCACCTAAACCGAATTGAGTTTTTTGAGTACTGCATAAAGATCTGACCTTAACAGTGGCCTGCTGTGTTCACATGCATCTCAACTTCATTCTCGAAATATCATACAGAGTCCCTGTGGGACAATGGCTTGAGAGAAGAATAGTTTGAAAGCATATTCTAAGGTTTGGTGCACACGCTTCAAGGCAAAAAAAAAAAACCAGCCTTCACAATACATCCAGTCACTTCTTTCTGTTGCTATAAAAATGCCGTGTTGTGTAGCTTTAAAATACAGCTTAGTTTATGTTTGTTTGTCATCCAAAAGCAACTGACTCACCTAAAGAGCTGCTGAGAGCTAGTACTTAGAGCTAAAAACATACGAAACTTTGTGTGTGGATGAGAGATGGGTCATGTAGTGGAAACTATGCTTTATTTTATTTATTTATTCTTAGATGTCCTTAAACCACATTGAACCACTAGAATTCTGTGGAAAGCCTTGTGTAACCCAATGAAATAAAATAAAGCACAACATTTTTAAAAGCCACTCATTACTCTGAGTGCAAACAAGCATGCACGGTGGACATTTTTAAAAGTGTTCTCTAAATATTTGTTATTGTAAGCATTTGTCTCATGCTGCTAGACGATCCCTTCCCTGCTTCTGTGGATGGCAGAACCCTGCACTTGGTCGTGTGCACTAACACCTCCCTCTTAATAAAAGCCTGCAACCTCTGAGGTCTGATAGCTGATTGCTAGCCAGGGCATACGGAGAATATCCCCCACACTATGAAATATTCAAAGCCTTCCTTTGCAGTTGCAAAAACTTTATTCCCTCTAAGGTTTATCCCCATTTCACATCTGGACAGCTTCAGCTTCATATGTAGTACTATTTTGCTCACCTGTTTTCCAGCAGTGCTTTCTAGTTATTTAGGTAGCAAAACAAAAACTCAGGATGGCAGAATGAAAATGTTTTGTTGAGTCGCATTATTTCTTTATTTTATGATCATGCCATTTCCTTGGAAAATGTACAACAAATGAAAGCGTAGGTGTTCAGCCTTCGGTGCTACTGATACACCATATTGAAGCAGTATCTAGCTGCCATATGGGGCGACATTACTTCTGCTCGTGTGAAAAATATTAAAGGCTCGAGCTGTATTATTTTTGTAATACTGGAAAC